CTGCTGCTGCAGCTGCGGATACAGCTGAGCTCCTGTTGTTTGTAGATAGTCTCTTATCTCTGCTGCTGCTTCAACCCCTGAGGGCCCCGCCCCCACAACAACAAAAGTAAGAAGCTCTTTCTGCTTCTCAGCAGCAGCAGCAGCAGCAGCAGTATCACTACCTCCTGCTGCTGCTGCTGCTGCTGCTGCTGCTGCTGCTGCTTCTAAACAACTCCTTATACGCTGCTTTATCTTCTCGGCATCTGCTGCTGTCTTCAGATACAGTGCATGCTCCTCAACACCCTTCACATTAAAACTATTAACCTCAGACCCCACACCAAGCACTAAGTAATCAAACTTCTCTACCCAGGGGGCCCCCCCCGGGGGGCCCCCCTGGGGCCCCCCCGCCCCCTGCTGGGGGCCCCCCCCCTGGGGGCCCCCCCCCTGTTGGGGGCCCCCTGGGGGGCCCCCAACAGGCAGACAACGCACAGTTTTTTGTGTGAGGTCAACTGCATCTACTATAGCTCTGTAGAAAACTCCTTTGGCTTGGGGCTGGCCGCCGAGAGAGAGAAACTGTCTGAGGTTTGTGGTGCATGCAGCAGCAGGTAGAGAGCCGCCGCATACACACGGGAGCAGCGGAGTGTAAGAGAAAGTATCTTCGGGGGATATCCATATAACTTCGTATTGACGAGGGTCTAAAGATAATATAAATGCACAAGAAGCCCAGCCACCACCAGCTACAACCACACGCATACGTCTGTTTGGTTTCTGCTCCTGCTGCTGCTGCTCCTGCTGCTGCTGCTGCTGGTGGTGGTGGTGGTGCTGGGAGGGGCCTGCTGCTGAAGAGGGGAGGTCTAGCAGGCGGAGACGCAGTTGTAGAGAGGTTAAGAGATTACGCAGCCGCCAGCGAGCAGCAGTAAGAGGGGTGATGCTGGGTGGGGGTTGTTGCAGCCATCTATCAGCAACAACACGCCACTGCTGCTGCTGCTGCTGGTGCAGCTGCTGCTGCTGCTGCTGCTGCTGTTGCTGCTGCTGCAGTTGGGGGCTCACTTCTCGCTCCTTGCATGCTGCTGGGATACCTGATGAACCCAAAGAAGCAGCTACAACACCACCAAGACAACGAAGGGCACGCACACGAAACATTGCGGTGTATCTACAGCTCAGCGAGGAAGCAAAGCTGCATATACACCCTAAATTGAGAAAATATAATAACTAGATATATTGACGAATGCAAGCAGCATCTGCAGACTACTGTATTTATATATATAAAATATATATAATATATATATATAATATATATTATATATATTATATATAATATATATATATAATATATATATATGGAGAGAGAGAGAGAGAGAGCCACGCACAGGAACGGCCACACACACAGACCAGCGGTGGTGCCCCTCCCCCAGGCTGCGACTGGTGCTGAGAGAGAAGAAGCAGAAGAAAAAAGAGAAAAAGAGAGAAAAATAATATATTTTATTTTTTAATAAATTCAAAATAATGTCACAAAGTGCTTTTTATGGTGAAAATATATGCAGCAGATGAGCTGTACATACACCGGAGAATACACAGCACCGAGAGAGGGAGATGCCGCACACCCCTCTTTGCGGCCTCTCTTTGTTATTTAAATTTATTTTTTATTTATTTATTTATTTATTTATTTGTTTTCATTCTTTATGAACAAAGAAAAACAAAAAAAAAAGAAACAGAGGCGGTGCATACGGGGCTTGAGCTGCGTGAAGGTTCTTCTTCCGCTCTCTCTTTCTTGTTTTTGTTTGTTGCGGTGTATCGACATGAATATTTATATTAATTTTTTATTTTATTTTATTTTATTTTTAATTTTTATTTATTTTAACCGCAAATATTAAATTTATTTTCTAATTTTCTATCATTTATATCCCTATACACCCACACACCGTTCAGGTGTATCTACACCGCACCACTGCAGGCCGCCCATCTCACTCAGCCTGCTGCACCGGCATCCTCGGGGTGTATAGGCACTTTATATAAAAAATAAAATAAATTTTATATTAATTTAATATTTAATTTGAGAAAAAACAATCAAGTTTACTTTCTGCTGCGGGAAAACGCAACCCGGGCTACAGCTTCTGTATACACTACACACACAGTACACGCACACAGTCCTTATA